TAAGCGATACTTCACTTTTACCATTGGTCGCTTAAGCGATCATGTACAAGGCAGAATCAATACATGCCCAGATGCACGATCGCTTAAGCGATTTACTTTCTCGCTTAAGTGATTGTTCGCTTTTACCTTGGTCGCTTAAGCGATTTGGGATTGCTTAAGCCATCAAGTCCAAGGTAGAATCAAGATCTGCCAAGATGCATGATCGCTTAAGCGATGTATGGTCTCGCTTAAGCGATTCTTCGCTTTTACCCTTGGTCGCTTAAGCGATTTGGGATTGTTTAAGCAATCAAGTTCGGGGTAGAGTCAAGATCTGCCTAGATGCACGATGGCTTAAGCAATTTAAGGTCTCGCTTTTGCGATTCTTCGTTTTTACCCTTGGTCGTTAAACGATTCTTCACTTTTGGCCTTGGTTCTTGATCGCTTAAGCGACCAAGGCCATTTTTCTTCTTATCTCACCGATCTTATGATATTGTGCACGTTTGAGTGAGAAATTATATTCCGTATTGTGGCTGAGCTTTATATTCAATCATAACCATCCATATTTGTGAAATGAGGTACGTTTCTACTAACATGCCACACTCGTGACTAATTCAGTAAATTGATTGATTGATTGATTGTCTTGATACGACAGTGATGTTGATAATATTTATTTTGCTTGTCTTACTTCTTTGGGCAGCTATCAGTGCTGTTCAAAGGTAATATGCAAAATTTTACTAACTTAAACCCTTTTTAAAATTGATGAAAATGAAAAATAATTAATTTGATTTAATACGTTATAAATGATGATTTATTCAAGGTAACAATAAAATTTAAAACATAAAAAATTGAAAACAACAACTCTTCAATGGTTAGCCTTGGCAACTCTCTTGATTTCATCATTCTTCTTGATGACATAACTAGAATTATAGGGACATAAAATCAGTTTAATGCACCACAAAAGAGAAACATAATAACTTCATCAGATCGCTTAAGCGATCTTCTGTCGCTGAAGCGACCTTACGTCGCTGAAGCGATCTGGTAGCCACCAGATCTGATCTGAGCAGAGTAGTAGATCGCTTAAACAATCTGCTGTTCAGATCTGCAGATAGCAATCTTATGTCGCTTAAGCGATCCGATCTTATTTGCAGATTGTTTGCTTTCTTGTTGTTGATCAATTCGAACCTAATTTTCTAGATCTAAATGTGATCAATTCTAGCAACTGCTTCTCTTGTGGCCAACTTGCTTGCAAATTGAGCACTTATTCATCCTCTAGGGAACCTCAAAGGCTGATGGAATATGCTTAACTTTTTTCTCCCCTTTTCTGTCTTCTTAAATAGCAGATGGATGATAATGTGAACTAACTTTGACGGCAGCACCCACTGCTTTTCTGGAGGAATTGGATATATCGTTTCCGAATAAGTCAGCATGTAGTGATTTGCAATATAGAGAGGGGGGCAAAGTTCCATGTAAATTCTTGAACGAAAATTCGGCTTCCGTTGGTGTTACAGTGTTGCTAGTGCATGAGGACAAGGCAAACGTTGAATGTCAAGCACTTTACAGCTGCAAGTTTTACTAAGAAGGTTAATTAGGGCATTCGGACCATAGCTGCACACGGTGAACTCTTGAGCATTAAGAGGATAGGCAAATAGTGCATTTGACAGTTCCATACGTTCTCGCAATAATATTTTAGTTGATGGAACAAGGGTTGTGGTAAAATTATCTAACTCCGTACTATGCTCATGGAACCACCGTGATAATGTCCTCTGGATTGCATCAAAAAGGGCAACTATTGGAAACTCTTTTTCTATTAACAACTTCGAATTATGGACTCGGCTATGATCGTGGTCATGACATCAAACCTTCTTCCAGGATAGTAAGCTCTACTCCATCGCTCGAAACCAACATCATACTCAAGATACTTAACAAATTTATCATCCTTGATTCGGATTTGCCGGAAGTGCTCCTCGAACTCATAAACTTGATAAGCTTTTGCTGTCATGTAGTATGTCTAAAGGAGGCTAGCACACTTAAACTTTTGTTTTATGTTTTCACCAAGGTGCCTCATACAAAATCTGTGATGTGCTTGAGGGTAAATAGTGGCAATCACAATCTTGATAAAGTTTTGCCTATCAGATATTATGCAAAACTCGTCATTGTCAAGCACTATCGTACGTAATTGCTGAAAAAATTAAGTCCATAACTTGTCGTTCTCAGAGTCAACCACACAACATGCAACGGGATATGTGTGATTCTCGCTGTCCTGTGTAGTGGTCACCAACAATGTACCTCCATACTTTCCCGTCAAAAAACAACCATCAACAGCCAACACCTTTCTCATGTTTACAAAACCCCTTATAGCAGAACTGTAAGCAACAAAAAAATATTTAAACCTCATATTCTTGTCCCACTCCAAGCCGTCTTGCTACCTTGGTTTGTGAACTCAAGCATATAACGGTACGTTTCTAATAATGCGTGTCCGTGCTCCGGTGTGTCCCTCACAAAATCTTGTGCATGTTGTCTCCGTTTCCAACATTTCCAGTAACTAACAGCACGTCTGAACTCTATGCGCATAAGTCTCTAAATGTCTTTAGGAGATGGACATTTCCCTTCAACGAAGTGACTTTTGACAAATTGTCCAATAATATCAGCAGAGACTTGTCGATGCTCACCTAAAATATGTCCCAAACCACATGTGTACTTACGGGTATATGTGCTAACAATAAATTTTTTGGACTCCGCCAACCTTCTACAATAAACCCGCCACTTTCACTTTCGGTCACGACATGCAACCGTCACAACCGATGAATTAGACTTTTTGGTGATGAACTCAAAATTACCTCTCACGGCAACAAGTTTTAGCTTCCTCACCACTTCCTCTTTGTTGTCAAATAAATACCTTATGCGTAACTCTGATCCATCCGTAAAAACATGAGCTGATTCACTACTACCTGCAATTGCCCCCTCTGAACCTGCATAAAGGACCATAGTGTTCTCTTCCTCACAAACTACACCTTCTGCATGATCCGTATTTAAAGGAATCTCTACATTTGCGGGAACATGTACATGGTACTCTTCCTCAACATTTTCATTCTGCTGCACATGACCAACCTCTTCTACAGTGTCCTCCTCACCACCCAAATCACCGCCTACTCTTGATTTTTCAACTAAGAAATCAATGCCCTCGTAGTTCAAATTAAAAGCAGCATTCTCTCTGCCAACTTCCTTGTTATCCCCTTCTTTTGAACCAACTTCCAACGGTTTATCTATAAAAGGAACCCTTAAAATCGGCCTCGAACCATTATCGCCCACATCAATCTTATATAACTTCACACATTTATCTGACTTTAATATAGTAGGAGGTACCTTATAATGTTCAGGAACTCTGCTTAAAACATACTTCACAACTATATCATTACGTGAGCAACTCAAATCACCTCTTCTAATTATTTCATCTATCAACTCATCAAAACTAACCTCTGTGCTCACAGTAATTGGTATAACTTCTTTGCTCTTTCCAATCCATTTCCAGCAACTTTCTTCCTCCACCCACTCACCAAAATATTCAACACCCAAAACAACTTGTCCCATGTCTAATAATAGCCAAGTACCTATAATGCAAGAAAAAAAATATTATTAACTGATGTATTAAGGGTTGAAAGATTTTAAAAAGCATCTGCAGAGTCATTTGAGTGATCTGGTGTATCGCTTAAGCGATCTGGTATATCGCTTACTGGATCGCTTAAGCGATATAATGGATAAATAAGTTTGATCGCTTAAGTGATCTTCTGCCTTTTACCTAATCTCACTTAAGCGATCTGCTGCCATACACCAGACTTATAGCAGATCGCTTAAGTGATCTTTTGCCATTTACCTAATTGCTTAAGCGATCTGCTATCATATACCAGACTTATAGCAGATCGCTTAAGCGATCTTTTGCTGCATTATACCAGACATACCAGATCGCTTAAGCGATCCATCATATCCATAACACATTTTCAGTCATCTTCACATACAATCGGTGCTACCACCCCCAGCTACCCACAATACAAGAAAATATTCAACAAATTTCACTCATTTCAACTTGCATTACATCAAACACAACCCAACAACTTAAACAACTAAATCAAAATCACAACCTAAACTCAATCCATCATTAAATCTTTGTAAACAGAAATATAAAATGGAAAGGGGAGATACACATACTTGGATGAAATGTCAGGAGGAGAAGGAGGAGGATGATCTGTGGCGGAGAAGATGTTAATGGTGGAGAAAGAAGATAGTGTTAATGACGGGAAGAAGAAGATGTACAGGAAGGAGGAAGAATAAGATGTACAGGAAGAAGCAGATGCAGAAGAAGAAAAAGAAGATGTAGACGAAACTTAGAAGAAACAACAACCAGGGGAAGGATGCGTTAATGGCGGGAGGAAGAAGAAGAAGGTGTTTGGGTTTGTTTGCAAGAATTTTAGCTCTTTGGGGACATATTATAATTTTTAAAAGATTACACAATACTTCATTAATCTTAATTAACCACTAATCATGTTTAATTAACTTTAATCAATAATGAGACTATTTACTTAACACTTTTAAACTACACGATATTTTAATTAAATTTGAACTTGATTTAACTTTTTAATAAAATGCCCCTGATGTCAAGGGGACCCACCCAACCTCAGTCTCGGGACGAAGTTTTTGTGGTGCAGTGTGACGTCGTTTAATTGGAGTTGTCCTTGACAGTGTGTCTTTTATAACTATTGCCAGAACCTTCGTGTACCTTATAAAATCCACTTCCACCAAAGACATCTAGCTTATTTATATAACTAAATTGTGAAAACGGTTCAAAGCTTTCAATTTTAGAGAATTAATGACAAATTAAAATAATCTTTATTTGAGGAGTAGTAAATTTATAAACCTGTTGCCAATCATTCAAAAGTTTCTCATCAAAATCAATCTAATTTTTGAAAATGATTTATTGAAAAATTGGATGTAAACAAAACTCTACCCTCTTTAGAGATCAACTACTTCTAACTTTTAAAGAAGTCTACAACTTCATTATAAACAAGATCCTTGGCATTTACAGCTTTAATGAAATCAAAGTGTCCGTAATCTTTTACAAACAAAGATTTTAGCTTATCTCCAAGATGATATTTCTGAATATTAATTAAATACTGAACATCTTCAACATCAGAAATTGCATCATTGCCTCCATAGCTCAGAAACAGAGGAAGGTCACTTGGAAGGTTGGCCACATTATAAACAGGCGGTCTGAATGCTTCGTAACGCCTTAGATTATACGGTAGAAACCCATCAAACTTTGCAATCACCTTAGTTCGAATAAATACAATTTCATTTTGCCCGACAATTACATATAGTTTAAGGTTTATTTAATTTTTTCAACCAATATTAAGGTTAGAGATGACAGACTCACTCTGCGAGAGGTGTATCAGATTTTTTGTTAATGTTGATTGAGGCTCATTTTCCGGGTAGTTATTGATCGCTGGAGCATTGAGACAACAATTAAATCCTGCAATTGGGAAAATTTTAGTGAAAACAATAGTTCACAGAAAGATCGTTGTTGCCCAAGAACAAACAATTAGAGCTCAGAAAATTACCGCTAAGTGATGTAACTAAATCATTGCAGTTAAGCCCAGTAAAAGAGCAAATTGACCTGAGAAAACTATCAACAGCAGGATCCCTGATATGAACAGAGAACCAAACCATTAAAATTATGAGCATTTTTATGTTAGGAACAAAGTTTATAAATATCTTAAAACTGATTCTTACCCTTTTGGGTTGAACTCTGCTATTCCAATCAACCCAACGGCCTGTTAAGAGAAAACAAATCAATTTGATTCATGTGTTGTGTCTGAAGTAATCATTGACAATGAAATCTTATAACTCCACTGACCTCTCCGAGAAAGGATTCATATGAAATTAAAAAAAAAAAAAAAACACTGGAAATTGTTAAAAGAAAATAATAGAAACTTAAAAGAGTCTAGATCATTTAAAAAAATAAAATATTTTAAATAAAGAATAATTATACAAGATAAATACTATTAGACACGGTTGTAGTTTCTTCAAAGGAAACATCAACAGTTGCTATGAAGCAAAAAGTTTTCTCTGAAGAAAACTGCAACACTGTCCAATAGTATTTATCTTACGAAGTTTTCTGGATTTTCTCTCAATTTATATAGATAAATGCTTAAGGAGATAAATAATGAAGATAAATAAATACTAAAATTATCTAGATAAATAGATATATAATACATTAGATAAAAAAATAAATAAATAAAATTTATGTAAGATAAATAACTATTAGATAGTGTTGTAGTTTTCTTCAAAGGCAGTACCAGCAGTTGCAATGAAGCAAAGAGTTTTTTTTTTAAGAAAATTGTAGTACTATCTAATATACAAATATCAGAGAAGTTTTGGATTTTTTTTGATATATAAGATAAATACTTAAAGAGATAAATAATTGAAGATATAAAAAATAAAAATTCATCTAGATAAATAGATATCTAAATACATAAGATAAAATAAATAAATAAATAAATATTATATAAGATAAATACTATTAAACAATGTTGTGTTTTTTTCAACCCAGTATCCAGCAGTTGCAATGAAAGCAACAAGTTTTCTTTGAAGAAAACTACAACACTGTCTAATATACAAAATTTTAGGAAAGTTTTTTGGATTTTCTCTAATTATATAAGATAAATATTTAAAGACGTAAATAATGTAAGATAATAAATACTGAAATTTATTAGATAAATAGATATCTAAATACATTAGATAAAATGAATATAACTCATCTAAATTATTATATTAACAAATTTATGTACCAAATATAATAGAAAGCTGTATAACAGCGTTTTCCATAAATGATTTTGAAAGGAAAATTTTTATTGGTTTTTCAATTTTTTTATTTTATTTTTTGTATCTTTCGAGGATTTTGGGTCGGGCTGGGATTAGAATCAATCCCCTCTCCGACCCAACATCAATGTGGGGATGATGTATACCATTCTGGGCCCAACTCTGACTTTTACACTTGATCCTCCACATGAAGGGGCAGAGGCTTGCAGGGACAGCCCACAGAATTTTGCCATCGGCTATTAACAAACTCAGGGCCAAACAAATAAACTACTTCCTAAATCTTAAACTCAAGTTAATTTAAACTAGATTGCTTTGCGTATTCAAATGTTAATTTTAATGTAGAAATAATTATTATTACCAGATTATATTGATGAAATTTGTTTGTAATAAACTGGTCTGTGTGGTTACGTTAACCCCGTCCCATTATGATCTCTCTCCTTCTAGCAGACAAATGCAAGTCAATGCACCAACTAAAGCAAATCACGCTCAAATGATCGTTTCTTCCGCATTGACGATCACTTTGCCGCCAGTGTTTACTTTGCTTTTGCGCTCTATCTTCATCCGGCGATCTTCCCTACGCTATAACGCTTTTCAACAAAATTGAAAACCCGAATCAATTCATGTGGAACACTCTCATTAGAGCTCAAGCTGTATAAAAAATCCAGATGAAGCAATTTCCCTTTATGTAAATATGAGGAGAATTGGTTTTGCACCATCTGAGCATACTTCTTTTGTTCTCAAGGCTTGTGCTAGCCTTCGTTCTAAATTGTTGTAAACAGGTTCATACCCATGTTTTAAAATTGGGTCGATTTAGATTGCATGTTGTTAACGGTTTAGTCAGAAGTTATTCTGTTTCGAGTGATTTAAATAATGCACGTCGACTGTTTGACAGATTTACTAACAAGAATTGATCAATGGACCACGATGATCTGTGGGTACGCGCAAAATTTTTTTTGCTAATGAAGCGTTGCTGCTGTTTGATCAAATGATTTCAGAAGGATTTGAACCAATAGCGTGACTTTGGCTTCTGTTTTATCTGCGTGCGATAGTCTGGTTGTTAGAATTAGGAGAAAAGGTTCATGTTTTATGAGAACGAGAGGGCTCGAAATGGGAGTCATTCTTGCACCGCGTTGGTGCATTGTATGCAAAAAGTGGAGCCATTTCAAGGCTAAAGAATTGTTTGATTCCATGCCTGAGAGAAATATTGCTAGTGGAATACAATGTTGTGGGTTGGCTAGTTATGGCATGCCGAGGAAGCATTCAATCTCTTTCGAAAGCTAGAGAAGGAGCAAATTGCGCCAAACGATATAACATTTGTGGGGTTATCTGCTGTCCCATGCCGGCTTGGCCGATGATGGTCGTGAAATTTTTGGTTCCATGAAGAGATTGTATGGCGTTGAGCCCAAGATTGAGCATTATGGATGTATGGTTGATCTTCTTGGTCGAAGTGGGGAGGTAAAAGAGGCCGAGGAGTTGATGAGAGGAAGGTGTGGAAGCCTGATGAGGTGATGTTGGAGCTCTTTTGGGAGCTTGAAAGTCGTGGGAATAATGAGGTTGCTGAAAGAGTGGTGAAACAGATGATCGATTTGGAGCCTAATAATCATGGGTTTATGTTGTTTTGTCCAATTTGTATGCTGAGGCTGGAAGGTGGGAAGATTTACGAGGCTAAGGAAGGTGATGAAGAAGGGATTGAAGAAAACACCTGGGTGGAGCCTTGTAGATGATGTTGTATGACTGAGAACTAAATTTTTGTTTAGAAAGATTAAAATTCCCTGATTTTTTCTTTCAAAGTAATGATCTTTTCATGTAATTAAGTCTGTCTTTCAAGAATCATGGTTCATTCCAGCTCAATTTGTGAACAAAGTCCGTCTAATAGTTGATAAACTTGCTTGATACGTGCATCATCTTCACATGCTAAAATAATAGTATCCCTTTTTTTTTTTTTTTTTTGTTGTATCCGAGCCAACTTGCGTATCTTAACTATTCTCTTGAGGCTTGAAATTAACGGTCAGTAAGTCTCAAACTACCCCTTATTAGTAGTCGTTGGGATTCGAATTTAGCCTCTTGAGTAATACACAATAATCCGTAGCGAGCCGTCAAACTACTTTGGAGGTGTTTGGTTTAAGGAATGTTGGATTACTGGAAAGTTAAATTACTTTGAGATTATTGGGATCTTTAGAAAAATGCGTTAGGTTAATTGGTGGTAGTTATATTAATATGTTTGGATGTGAGAAATAAATTGGTGGTGGTATGTTATTTAAATTACTGAACTGTTCCTAATTAAATATTATATTATATTATTTTTTAATATTGATTATTATTTGGATTATTATAACCCCCTGTAGTTAAAAACTTAGCAAAAACAACTCATAAAAAGTTTGGAAAATCAACAAAGCACCCCACCAAACCTAGCCATTGCCGGCGTCAGCAACCACCGCAAGCCGTCGGCAACCTAACGGTGACAAAAGGCAGGAAATGGCCTTGTGCCCCGTATGGCCATTTCCGGCAGAATGGCCAGACGTGATAGATTTGGTTGTCGACGGCCAGATTGACGGATTCGGCCTTGATGGCAGATGAATATGCCTCAATGGCAGATATGTGGCTGGAAATGGCCATATCGACGCATGTCAGCCATTTTCAACCTTCCATGCTCTGTTCCGGCTATGGCGGCGGCTGGCCACCTGGTGGTTGCCGGTGGTAGGTGGGTGGGGGTGGTGGCTTGGGGGGCTGCAATTTGTTTTGAATTCAAGGGTAATTTTGTCCAAAAAATTAATTAATTGAGGTGATAGTAAAAGCAACATTCATGTAATAAATTTAAAATAGGGCATTATTGTCCTAAAATTATTAATAAATGATAGAATTGTATAAAAAAACGATTACCTTGGTAATCTTACAGTACCTACGAAAATGGAGGTAATCAGATTACCTCCAATATTACCATCAATAACTACTATTGTATTTGAAGATTATCGGAATTTTATATTACTGACAATCAAAAGTGGTAATTAAGTAATATAATGATATACCTAGTAACCCACGTTACCCTAACCAAACGCCCCTTTGTGGTATTAAAAGTATACTATTTCATTCACATGGCATTCTCAAATCGGTTTGTAATGAAGTCAGGGAGGTTTTCAAACAAATTTTTGATGCAAAAATACACCAACCAGAGTGATTCGATCGACCTTGGCAGGATCAGAATTAATGTGTGCGTGATTACAGGTAACCAGCAATAAATAAGCATTGAATGCAGTAAGGAAAAACAAAGAGATTTTTAAAGTGGTTTTGGCGAGATAAACCCTTGAGCCTACGTCCACTGTTCTTATATTAGCTGTGAGAGCTTACAATGATAGTCCTTGACTAATTTGCTAACCCCTTTCTCATCGTAGGAGGGGGTTTATATACAAATGTGTACAAGGAAAGAGCGAAAATAAAGGGATTACAACAAGTTTGAAATGCAACTTCAATATTTTGCAATTGGGCGCTGTAATCGCAAAGATTACTGTCGATTTGATCCTTTCGGAGAATCCTGGATTTGAAGTTATCTGTGAATTGGTTGAACAACTGTAAGGATTGGTTGCAACTAGCTTGTGCTAGGTCGAGCTATAACTGGACGGCTATGCTAGGTTGGACAATCGGAAGAGTCGAGTTGGTTCTGAATCGGGCTATAACCTCGTAATCCTCCAAGCTTGATGGAAAAATCACACACAACATTTGCCCCCAAGTGTTCGATGCTTGATTCAAGCTTTGAAGACTATTGCTCGATTTGATATCAAGCTCGACATCATCGATGGGGTATTGGAGCAAATTCGGTCGAGCTTTTAGGGTTGGACTCATGTCCAAAGACGTACCCACACTTGACCTTTTCTTTTGTGACATCCTCGACAACCCAGAATTTGAAAAGAAAGGGTACTTGCGTAAATTCCAAGTGGTCATGTCGCATTAAATGCGGCAGCCTTGGCGGTTACTTTTCATCGCGTGGGGCGACTAGGGGTGGGCGAAACCGGATATCCGATCCGGTTGGCCTTTATTCTGATCCGATCCAAATATTCAGATAAGCCAAGAAAACCAATCCGAATTTGATCCGGTTTCTTGATGATCTAGTTTTGATCTGATCCGAATTTTCGGATCGGATCATCGGATATTGGTTTTAATCCGAATTTCAAAACACATTACGAGAAGAACTTTATTTGAAATTAAATCTTTTATATTTATCTAAAATTACACTAAATAGAGTTAAAAGACATAAAGATTTGATGAAATAACAAAACAATAGTCAAATGGAACACAAAAAAATCTACCACAGCAAAACAGCACCGAAATACCTTGACAGAGTAATGAACAGTCAAAACTACAAAACAGCATCAAGAAACCAAAAACTATAGCCACTAAACAGCCTGAAAAATGCTAGTAAACCAGCAGAGCAGACCAATACCTTTGTTTGCTTTCTTCAGTGCCGATTCTCACAAAGAATATGTTGCTTACTGTTTATTTAAAACATTGAACCTATCTTGCTATCCACTATACCAATATCCTATCTACCAAAACACAAAAAATACTGCTCTAAATATCAAACAGACCTAACAAATTAAGGAGAAGGAATAATAAGTCAATATTAACAAATGTTGGAACAACATGACCACTAAATCATCACAGCAATGTTTCTCAAACAGACAAACTCTTGAGCTTCAGCAACTAGTTTAGGATACCAAGGCTTAGTAGATAAGATGAGATGAAATGAAAAAACTGTCTCTCAAAAAGGCGCCGATTTTGTTTGGTTTTTTTTTCGTTGAGTCTTGAGTGAGGAAAAAAAATTAGGGTTTGGGATTAGGGTTAAGCAAAAAAATGATTGGGATTATTTTATTGGTTTTTAAAAACGGATCGGATACGGATGTCCGATTTTTTGCACAGCCGGTCCAAAAAATCTGAATCTCTTATAATCTGATCCGATTTTGGATAACTGATTTTTTTGGATCGGATCAGATCCAGACCAGATACCAGATATCGAATATTTTGCAACCCCTATGGGCAACTACAGCTGTCCACCATGAAGTTGGGCGACGTGCAATGACGGTTATGATTATGGCAGTCTGATGGTTGATCACCCTTTGTGGATGATTGACACATGGCCACGTCCAAGGGCCAAAATTGCTCAACGAATGAAAAGTCAAGATTTGATGTAGATTGATGGCTACGATCAAACCCTGCCCTTTGTCTCCTATGCAAACCACTC